TACTATTCTTTTAGGTGTAAGTTATCTGTTGGTACTATCTCATTAACTTAAAATTGCCTTAGCTGGTTAGCTCAGTGGATGGAGCGTTGGCCTGCAGACTGAAGGGTCCCAGGTTTGATTCTGGTCAGCACATCCCTAGTAGGGGGCGTGCAGGAGGCAGCCAATCAATGATTCTCTCTCATCATTGATGTTTCTATCATTCTCTCTCTTCCTCTCTGAAATCAATAAAAGTATATTAAAAAATGCTTATATTTAAAATTAATTTTGGTTTGTTGGAGAGAATTGCTTTGCATTATAGAGTTTATTTCAGTAATATTCCCCCTCTTTATGAGGTTTTTATGGTTGTAGTTAATGGATTAATTTTTTTCCATGATAGAAAGCGTTTCCGGAATTAAATTTTTATAAATATTTTAATTTTCAATCTTAGGAAATGTAGGAAAATACTTGTAAGACATATATTTGGCATTATTTGTTCTCAAAGCCTGATACTATGGTACATCAAAATGTTTTTACATCATTGAATTAGTTTTCCTTTTGTTCTCAGTTGAATATCAATTATTTCAGTATTTTTGTTACACCAATTAATGTTTTCCAGTAGTATTTGTTTATCTAAACAGGGTTGCATGCTCATGATGAATTTATAGTTTAATATTTTTAGCTTGAATGGTTTCATTTTATTCATTCTTTAATAGGAAATACATTTACATGGTTTAAAATGTTTCCCTCCCATCTCCAATATTAAGATACTTAATACATCTTTTTGAGTATTTCAAATATTGCAATACCTTGTTATCTTTCTGGAGATGTTTTCCTTATATACAAATAAACTGCCCTCTCCCATTTTATTCCATAGTATTCATTTTGCTTTTCCTCTTGTTTTCTTCAATCAATATATCTTCAATCAATAAGTAACAACATATTGTTACTTAAGGGGTTGTCTCATATTTCTTCCCAGATCTATCGTGTCCCATTTTGTAGATATATCATTATTTTTCCCCATTAACACCAACATTTAGTGGAACAATGATTAGCTTTTGCCTAACTTGCATTTTTACAATTTATAAATTATGTTGGTGAGATGTCATTGTGAAATCTCATAGTAAGGAAAATCTTAACATTTCTAAATTAAAATTTTGGTACTGCCCTGGCTGGTGTGGCTTAGTTGGTTGGGCATCATTCCATGCACCAAGTGCACCAAAATGTATAGGGCTGGATCCCAGGTAGGGTGTGTGCAGGAGGCAGCAGATGGATGTTTCTCTCTCACATCGATGTTTCTTTCTCTCTCCCTCTCCCTTCCTCTCTCTCTAAAAATAAATAAAAAATTTTCAAAATTTTGTACTTATGATTGCTTTTATGTTTTCTGATTAAAAAAATAAGTGTACCATGATACAAACTTCCCTCTTGAGTTGGTTGCTTACCAATACAATGATGTATAACAAAGCTGTACATTTGAATCTACCATAGGCAAGGGTACTCTCCATCTCAAATACAGACAATTGTTTTTCTACAATTGTTGAAAAAAAAAACAATGTGGGTTTAGCAGGTAGTTAATATTTCACATTTCGTATGATAAAATGTCAATTCCCATTTTTATTGCTTTGCCTATTTCTTGCATTCTCACATGTATTTAATTTTATAAATACACTTGTATCATACTATTCAAATATTTTGAAAATCCATTACTTTGGGGGAAATCCTAGAAATTGAGAAGGGAGTTCTCACCAATTTGTTAGCAATAGGCAGATTTAAAAAAATCAAGTTAATTTAGTTTTAAAACAGAAATTCTTTGATTTATGTTATAACTGAAACCTTTCTTTGGGAGAGGAAGTTATTCATAGATTGACTAAGCCTTTTTTTCTATACATAATCTTCTCCCTTAACTAGAATGAATTATTTTTAAAATAGATTTTATTGATTTCAGAGAGGAAAGGAGAGAGAGGATGATAGAAACATCAATGATGAAAAAGAATCATCGATTTCCTGCCTCCTGCACACCCCCTACTGGGGATGGAGCCCGTAACCCCACCCCAACTGGAATGAACCTCCTGGTTCACAGGTCCACGCTCAAACACTGAACACTGAGCCACACCAGCCCCACTAGAATGAATTACATATTTTTAGAAATAACTGAATACATATTTAAGCTGTTTCTCATGAGAGGACCATTTTCCTTTTCCATGTTAACTTATTTTACATAAATGATTTTAGAAACATTGTATAATTTTCTACTAAAGCCAATAAACAGAATTATTAAAACTATTTTACTTAATAGAATTATATTATAAGCTTTCTGGAAGTTGCTAGGAACTGTAATGGAAAGAGGTTTGATACTTAATTTTAATTAACAAATTAGAAAGTTGAAATTTGAAGAGACTTCATTTAAGGCAAAATTTATGAAACACCTTAACCACTATTGAAACACTTTAATAACAAGACTGCAGTTCAATATATCTTTTGTCAAGTCTTAATCTTCCTGCAAGCAAAGGACCCTTTTCTTTTGGGGTTATTATTGGTTAGCAAATGAACTATTTGTTTATTCAAAATAACTGCAATAGAAACTTAGTGATAAGAGCTACTACATTGATCTAGGTTATAATTTTAAGGTGTAACTTGTTGGGGGGAGCTTTGATTACAGTTGTCTTGATGATTTTACAAGTATATCAGAATTTTGACAGAAGGTGTATGCTGGCATGTGTCCATTTGAGAAGTCTCTTTTTGTGACTCTGATTTCTCCTTTTGAGAAAGAGTTTAATCACCTCCAGTTGATGACGTTAAGAATGAATTCATGGTGAAATTGAAAGTTGGGCTTTACTTTGATATGAAGCTAACATTTTCACAGGTAAAGATGGAGGTAATTTTATAGAAACAGCTTGAACAAATAATGTATTGAAGAAGAAAACAAGTGACCTATATTGTATGTAAAATAGAATTCACATTGGGGAGTAGTTGAAAATAACAATGGAAAAGTTACCTTGTGATCACATATCAGGTCATATAGAAGTGATTCTAATTTCTCGGAATTTTTTAATTTAGTGCAATTCAATAAAAGCTGTAGTCATGAAGATAAATGTGATGGTATGTGAAAAGAAAAATGGACTCTAGGCAGACTTTGAATAGGGCAGGTAAGGAAGAAGATGTAATAAAAGGTATCATATTGGTGATACGGAGACTATTCATGCCATTAAAATAAAATGAAAATTTCAAGGGTTGAATTTGGGGGTTATTAATGATTTCTCTTCATATTCCTCAAATTGTAATTAAATTATGTTCCAAACCTATTTCCATTGCAGTTTCTAGCAATTTTCAGCATATATGGGTGAAAATGAAAATTATAACCATAGAAATGAGAAAGATGTAGGTTTGGGAATATCTTAAATAAAACTCTTAATTGAAACATTGGAAGTGGATGGGAACACTTAAATAAAAGCATATAAAAGGTTGAGGTTAAGAGAAAAATATGAGGCCATTTAGGGGCAACTGAAGGATCACAGCATCAGAAAATAATGGGTAGAAATTTCACTAGAATTAGTAATGATGGGGAAGTATGTGAAGGAAAATGTTTTAAGGGGGAGGCCTAATATAAACTGCAGAGAAATTTATAAATGCAAAGAATATAAATATACACTAAAATCTTTATCTTCCATTATTAAGTAAAAGAGCCATCCACAGAAGTATTTGATATTCATTGAAGAAAAAAAATGGACTTCAATAATCTATAAGGTTTTAAAATTTTGAATAAAATTTGTTCATTTAAAATTACATTCTTTTCTCAGAGCAAAATATAACAGCATGTCTGATGACTGAAATATAGGCAAATGTTTTTTATGTACATAAAAAGTGTAGGATAATTTGCACTTCTAATTCCTAAACCGCGTTCGAATCACACTTAAATTTTCTTAATTGATTGATATATAAATTATTGGAAAGTCATTTCACTATGAAAAAGTTGATCCTTTACCCTACTCTAAATTATAAAAGAAGTCAGACAAGATGAAGCCGACTCTGCAAATGACAAACATGAGGAGATTTACTATTAAAGTAAGGCAAAAGAAGACTTTTTAAAAAAATTTAAAGAACTAGAGCATAGCGCAGTTATATGAATTCATTTCTTACCTCCCCCTCGGAGCCGCATGATGTCGCTGTCTACCAGGAAGTTACATCTAGCTAGCATTCAAACACAATCCTCCTATTACTGCATCCTTCCACCAGTGCTGAATGATGGCAGGCGCAGAAGATTTGCATTAACAGACTTGGATCATACAGTATTTCATCTCAATGCCGAGAGATCTTCTGTTGGAAATAAAACAAGTATTGGACATGGTTATTACCCCGGAAGGCCGACTGGGATCTCGGTGTCTGCTGCTCTCGCTTATGTTCCTTGCAGTCTGGGAGGCTGGGAGCGGCCAGGTCCACTACTCCGTCCCGGAGGAGGCCAAGCACGGCACCTTCGTGGGCCGCATCGCGCAGGACCTGGGGCTGGAGCTGGAGGAGCTGGTGCCGCGCCTGTTCCGGGTGGCGTCCAAAGGCCACGGGGACCTTCTGGAGGTAAATCTGCAGAATGGCCTTTTGTTTGTGAATTCTCGGATCGATCGGGAGGAGCTGTGCGGGCGGAGCTTGGAGTGCAGCATCCACCTGGAGGTGGTGGTGGAGCGGCCGCTGCAGGTTTTCCATGTGGAGGTGGAGGTGAAGGACATTAATGACAACCCTCCTGTGTTCCCGGTAAAGGAACAAAGAGTGCTCATTTATGAATCTAGGCTGCCAGATTCTCTGTTTCCACTAGAGGGCGCGTCGGATGAGGATGTTGGTGTAAATTCTATTTTAACCTATAAACTCAGTTCCAGTGAATATTTCTCGCTAGATGTGAAAACAAACAGTGATGATAATACACAAATTGGGCTCGTGTTAAGGAAGACTTTGGACCGAGAGGAAACTCCGACACATAACTTATTACTGACGGCCACTGACAGAGGCAAACCTGAGCTCACCGGCAGCGTTCAGGTGCTGGTCACTGTGATGGACGTGAATGACAATGCTCCCCGTTTTCAACAGTCTGAATATGAGGTGAGAATATTCGAAAACTCAGACAACGGCACAATAGTCATCAGACTGAATGCTTCTGATCCCGACGAAGGAATTAATCAGGAGGTTTCTTACTCTTTTAATAGCTTTGTTCCACCCATGGTTATTGACCAGTTTAGCATAGAATCTAATAGTGGAGAAATAAAAATTCGAAAGAATTTGGATTTTGAAAAAGTGAAATCCTATAAAATCCGCATCGACGCCACGGACAGAGGCCACCCACCGATGGCGGGTCACTGTACAGTTTTGGTAAAAGTCTTAGATGTTAATGATAACGTCCCTCGGATTTCCTTGACTTCATTGTCCTTTCCAGTCAGGGAAGACGCTCCACTCGGTAGTGTGATTGCCCTAATCAGTGTATACGACCAAGATGCTGGCGCCAATGGCCAGGTGACCTGCGTCCTGATGCCCCACGGGCCCTTCAAGCTGGTGTCCACCTTCAAGAATTACTATTCGCTGGTGCTGGACAGCGCCCTGGACCGCGAGAAGGTGTCACACTACCAGTTGGTGGTGACAGCGCGGGATGGGGGCTCGCCTTCGCTGTCGGCCACCGCCAGCCTGTCCGTGGAGGTGGCCGACGTGAACGACAACGCGCCGCTGTTCGCGCAGCCCGAGTACACGGTGTTCGTGAAGGAGAACAACCCGCCCGGCTGCCACATCTTCACGGTGTCGGCGCGGGACTTGGACGCGCAGGAGAACGCGCTGGTGTCCTACTCGCTGGTGGAGCGGCGGGTGGGCGAGCGCGCGCTGTCGAGCTACGTGTCGGTGCACGCGGAGAGCGGCCAGGTGTACGCGCTGCAGCCTCTGGACCACGAGGAGCTGGAGCTGCTGCAGTTCCAGGTGAGCGCGCGCGACGCGGGCGTGCCTCCTCTGGGCAGCAACGTGACGCTGCAGGTGTTCGTGCTGGACGAGAACGACAATGCGCCTGCGCTGCTGCCTCTGCCTCC